GGCACCACACGAAAAAGAACTATCGGTTCCTACAGGCACATGTCGGCCTCTGCAGCTAGTCAAAAACCCCCAACTCCACCCCCAAAACCCCCGCACCCCTCTACAATAGCCTTTGACCTTCTGTTGCCCATACTCCCCTGCTTCTACAGGTATCCTTGAAACAGCACCTTCAGACATTGAGGATTGTCCGAATTTGCACTGCCTAAACACACCTTGCGACGACCCACTATGCCAAACACGACCGCTACACCCTAAACATCTCTTGCCATGCTCCCTCCATTCACCCTAAATATCCCTTGCTCATAACCCTGATGCACCTCTTCATCATCACTCGTGTACGCCTAACCCTAAATATCACTTGCCTATACCCCCTATGCACCCTTCTGATGGAACCTCGAAAACCTGAATATACCTTGTTCACAACCCCTATGCACCCCTTGAAAGCGAGCCCAAACCCTTCTTGCCCATACAGCCCAGGCACCCATCTAAAGGGATCCCTAGGCCCACCCTCGCACCCAACCGTTACCCCAGATGGTTATATGCTTGTCCGCGCGGAGGCGGACGACGCACAGCGATTACAATAATGTAAAATCCTCACAGCCAAGAGACTCTGCCCTGCTTGTGCTTTGAAGTTTCCAGGAGCAGTTTGTCCTCGGAGCATGCAAATGAAGGCAGCGCAAGAAGAGGAGTATCTTTCTGCTGAGCAGCAATATGTTCAGCTATCTGTTGGTAGAACACCTTGTCCTCTGGCAGGACCTTCCAACATTGGTTGCACGGCTTACAGCTTGCCACTGCCACCATGTAATCATGCTGCAAGTGAGCTCACAATACCAAGCTATGATATCTCTAGCGCACTGAAGCCAATTTGGTAAATTGTTCTCGCCTGCCTGCTCCCTCTCTTTCATCATGAGCCGCAGCATCAAGGTGCTACTGTCCTGGACTCGTCGGCATGGCTAGAAGCGCAGAAGAGAAGCTTAGCTTGCTCCTTCGGTGTCCAATTTGCTTTGGCTTGAGGCCCCTGGCCATACAAAGGCAGTCGGCACAAGAGGAATTACTCATGCCGGAACTGCCCATCTGCAACTAGTTACTGCTTTATACTGTTCACTCTCTGCCTTCTTTGGAGGTGGCAAGGCTTCTGCGTCAGCGCCCTCACAGGCCATGCCATTCGGCCAAGCGCAAAGTACACAGCCACAACATGGCATTCTGCCAAGAGCGGCTGCTTTGCCTTCGTGTCTGCTTGGCTCCGGTCGACCTGCCCTCCTGAGTACAATCGAAGCTCTGCGAGGCTTAGCTCTTGTGATTATACTTTACGCTTTCAGCTACTCGAGTATTGGCAGCCGATGGATGAATGGTGCCATCACCTCAAGGCGGGAGATGATCGGAAGAAGTGCGATTTAAAATGTGTCCGTGTTAAGTCAGGAGGATACGCAAGGCTATAGACCAAGAGCCTCATCAACCAATGTGTGCGTGACAGCTTCTCATTTCAATCCGAGTAGATCAGAAACAGGCCTGCAATGACGAATGAAAGGGGAAAGGCAACACTCTGCAATTTGCTTGACTCTGGCAAACACAATTCCGCACGGCGCATTCTCGGATGTTGGCTTTGCCCAACTGAAAGGCAAGATGCAGGCAAGTACTTTATTCATAAGAACCCCCTGAGATAAGAATTAGTTGGCCAAAGCCACTTCAGCTTCGGCTAGGGATAAGCGCCGGAGGACAGGTTAGTCCACGAAAGCCAGAGAGGTACGGCCAATGAAGATACAGCAAGCTTGTATGTATCGGCTCCAAGGAATTGCTCACTGCAGTGTTGGTAACACCCGACAAAGACGGTGCCACCAGTTTCTTTGTTTCACCCTGCACTAAATGACACGGGCCTCGAGAGCCTGACGGGGACCGTGCTCTTTAAGCACCTTTCTGTTCAACCTTCTCAACCCCCACCTCCGCCACCTCCAAAATCAAAGCGGGAAGGAAGTCGAATATTTTATCGATTCAGAAATGTTGAATCTAGCGTCACTGCCTCCAGACGCAGAAAATGCCCTCGCAGCAAAATTTGCCAATCTCCTCTCAATCCCCTCATATGACGACCTTCTCAGGACCGGCTCCGATTCAGCTTTAACATCAGGCGCACACATGACATGTCAATATTTACGATTCCCTGTAACCCCGGTCGTGAGCGTAGGTGCAAGACAGGCGCTTCAGCTAGTTTACCCAAAAATGGGACCTCAAAAACCGTCGAAAATACATCTGTGTGTTCTTCTTTTTGCTCCAAATGATTATGCAAACTTGTTGCCCAAGAAGGCCTTTGCTGCAGCTAGCTCAGCAGCTATCTGACATGCACAGTTCTTAGCAACAGAATTCTCAAGACATCCATGCAGCCCGCATGCACAACCCGTATCAACAGCACTTCAGAAAGTAGTCATGATGTTGGCTTGCTGGGCCAGCATATTCCGTGAGGCTTCATGTTTTACCTCACGTGTGCTTGTTCAGATTGAGATCCCATGACGCTGATGATGCTTCTGCCCTGGCTGAGCTTCGCTTGTCCGAGAAGTACCAGCCCCATTTTCGTTGCTGCTTGTCGTCTGTTAAGCTCAAAATAACATCTTGGCCGCTCCCTCGAGACAATGAGCCATCAGTGAATAAACACATCTTCTTTGAGCTTCTCAACAAAAGCAACTTCAAACTCCTCCGGGTGTGCCTCTACACAAATCGCCCACAAAAAGAAAGGCTGGCTGTTGTGTCTTGCCAGGCATCGACCAGGAGCAACAGGTTTACCGAGGGTGGCTGTCTTAGCATCGGCCGCGGCCTGCGGGAACCAGAATTCGCGCTCAAGCATCAGGCCTTCTGCATTCTTCTGCAACATGCACGTCAGACTGCAAGCTTCTAAGTTGAGCACCATTTGTGCTCCAGTCGAATTTGGACTGGCCTTGTACCTGCCAACAGCACCGCTGCAAGCAAGCATACTGCCTCAGCGGCAAGGCATCCGTTTCGGCGATCTGGTCCTGCCCCTTCTCCTTACACTCCTCCTGTCCTAGCACGCCCGCATCTTCTGTGAAAAGCCCACCAGCCTAAACCTCAACAGATGCCAGAGTGAATAAGGTGGCAGAGACCCGCTGCGAAAAAAGAACTACCCGTCAAACACAAAGCGAGTAACAAGTAATCGCGAGCAATCTACCCACGCAGACAAGGGGGCAAAAGCATGACCTTGCCGCAACTGAAGGTCAGCACAATGCTCGATGACCGGCACAAACATGATGGAAACGATGACACAAACAAAACTGCCGAAGCCACTCTGGCCACCAACACCAGCGCTGTGATTTGCTCTGCTGAGCATAAGCATGCACATGCATGACTGCGCAGCTTCAAAGATGCCCCTGCAGCAATCTGTGAGGCAAGGGATGCTAGGTCTGAAGCACAAAGTGGCGCAGTCCTCACAAATGCCAGAAAGAAGTCAAAGTTATATAGGGGTAATATAGGGGATGTATGTGTATATATATATACATATATATAATACAGGTGTTATACAAGCCAGTGCTGATCCGAATTTGTGTGGCATTTGGCAACTGGGTAGGCGGAAGCTCGAGCTCCAGCAGTGCTGATGCCTCTTACCCAGCCCGAGCATGTGCATGCAAAGGACATTCGGCCCGCTGCTCAGCGTGCCTAAGGCTTTGCAGAGGAAGAATAAGAAGAAGACAGAAAACGCCCGGAAGGCAGCAGTATCACAACGAAGCCATTTGCCAAAGCCTTCAGCCTCAAACGCCTCTCTCTGCGAGGTTTGGGGCACGTTGCAAGCCACTGTCCGCAGTGACTGCCAGAGAGTGCGAAGTGTCAGATGCATTGGAGCATTGCATCCTAGCCGTGTTCTGGAACAAAAGCCTTATGGCAAGATTAGCTGCAAACTTTGTAGATGCAATGTGCCGAGTATAGTCATCTACCCCCTGATGAGGCTGTGTAGGCGCCACCGCGGGCGCAGAAGGAACCAGCTGTAGCATAGCTGACTTCACGTACAAAAGAACGCCTCTAGGATGGAATGAGCTGCTGCGCCCAAGACTGCCTCCCACCACACGTTCCGGGCCATCTTGTTTTCATGTATCTGTACGTTGTAAAGGAACAACCTAACAGTGGCCATCAATTTTCAAGGGAGTTGCCTTCGAGAGGACCACCAGTTAGCTTCACGCACCCCTCGCCCAGGCTCGCTCTTCTACTGCTCACCGACACTAGTTTTGCTCCGTGCCTGGCTAGATGCCTCCCCCATGTTGACAAGCAGTTGCCCGTTTAACACGTCTCATGCAAAGGTGGGGCACGATGCTGAAGCTTTATTCCTCCGAAGCAGAAACGCAACTTCGTGCAGCGTCTCCTCACCAACCTGCCAGAAGAAAGCAAGACCGTTTGTGAGGATTACGTGCAAGACAAGATCTTCAAAATGTCCACCTTGGAACCGCTGAGCTGACAGTCCAGGACGGTGCTATTGTGCTTAAGGCCTGGGGAAAAGCTCAGTCGTCACATTACTTTTAGTCCAAGCTGTCAGTTACGCCTTCTAGGAGCGCCAATCCACCATCAGCCCCGAGGTCATTCCAGGACAGGTCCAGATGCGTGATCTGAAAACATAGGCGAATGAGGGCTCAGCCGGCTCAGCGACAATGTGCTTAAAAGCTCAGGCAGCCACTGTCGTGTTTGATGCTAACATCTCGCCGATGTATTTTGCACCCACATTGTTGATGCGATTATTTCGAAGATCCACGTGACCGACAGTCAGATTCGACCTGCCACAGTCAAGTCAGACACTCACAGAACAGTCGGACTGGCTCCACACAAACACAACAAAGATGACGATACGGCCGCTTGAGAACGCCCATTCCAGGCATGGCAAAGAAAAAACGCATCTGACATGGCGCACTTCAGGACGTCACATAGAGCATTCAAACCACTGGGATCTTTTCCAATGGCATTCCTGGCCAAGCCGTGACTTCTGTCTGCTCTGAAGCTCAGCAGCAGTAAGTCCCTGGCCACTTCAAATTCAAACTTCGCAAAGATCTATTGATCTTAATGCCGTTGGCCAGGGCCATGGCTCCCTTGGCCTTCATTCAACGTCTTGCCAGCGAAATAGTATGAACTGGATTGTGGCACTCGCCTGAATGTTGTTTCCTCGGAGGTCCAAGTACCTGCCGGAGAACAGCGGCAACGAGCACAATCAAAGCCATGCTTCTAAAGAAAGCAAGGTCTGAGGGAGAACAGCTGTCAACAGCTGTCGACACGGCAACCGCTCAAGGGCTCCGCGTTGGTTCACAGCTGTTACGCTGACGTCAGCTGATGTGAGAACAAAGAAGGCACAATTCAAACGTGATCTTCTAAACTCAATCAAGCAGTTCAAGTTTGCATTCGGGCACTTCACAAAGGGGTTGTCCCGCAGGAACTTGGATACCTGCCGTGTCTCGAGTTCTGATTCTTAATGAACTTGATGCCTCACTAGTCTAAACCAGAAACTCCCGACACATGCATCGCACCTCCACTATGCCCTCATCTGAAATCGACGCATATGCCAAGCTCAAGGTCGGCGACTGGTCAATGAGCTGAAGATGCATGCGACTGGAAGGACGGCCTGAAACCCTGAAACCGCGCCTCTCGATTAGCGTCCAAATGGTTAAGCAGTGCAGGAATGTTGTTCATTGCCTTGCACGTCGACGCCATCAACACTCCCCCAGACTGGCAATCTTAAGCCCCGCGCTGATCCACTGCATGGCCCTTGTGACCCACTAATGTCCATCCAAAGCCGCAGAATCGCAACGGTCATGACATCTGTGCAAAGGCAGAGAGGCATGCAAAGCACCTGTCACGTGTGCTTCGTTCAAGAACGCAATGCATATGAAGCCTGCTCGTTTTTCATGCATGTTCATGCACCGTAATTTTCTGAAACTGCCAGCAACCACTCGCTAGCCAGGTACACGACGAAATGTGCAACAACGCACATGAAGTGTGTTGGATCTGTAGAAGCTGCGTGTTGGAAGGCATTCATAGTTTGGATTGCAAGTGAAACACGACCTGTCCCTGTACAGGATGGCCAGTGAAACAAAAATGTCAGAAGTGGAGGACAGCAGCGGGTGATGTCCAGATCTTTGAGCGCCCTGCGCTGAGGTTCGTGGGTTTTTCAATCGCAAGCTTACAAAACCTCTGGGTGCCTCAAAAGGCTGTCTCCATCTGAGGTGCGCTTGGCTGGGTTCGGCTGAGAGGGTCTGGAAACATGTTGGCACCTGGCAGGACATCCAAAACCTCATCTGCTTTGCTTGAGCTGGACGTCAGCTGAAGCTCCAAAGGTTCCGACCCCATGTTCCAGACCAGCCCGCGCTCATCCCTGTGAGACAGTCAAAGGCTGAGTCAAAGATCCATGGATATCATGGGGCACTTGCTGGTCTAAGAAAATACGATGACACAAACCTAGCCATAGTCTTTGCCTCCACCCTTATTGTCTTCGATTGGCTCGTTGATCACAGCCAGAGGCTTGTCTCTCCTGCGGGCTTTCGGGGCTTCCCGAAACCTTGAATCATCTGGTTTTCCACAGCTGACATTCCTGGACTCTGCTGTGAGGATATTGTAGTAGAGCTTCACCTCAGAGCTCATGCACAGCATCTGCACAGCATCTGTATGACAGAAGTGCACGAGGCTGCCACATTGTTTTCATCTATGAACTCTACCCAGGGACTTCGAGCCTGTGCCGGCTTCAGTGTAGCATACCAATACGGTCTGCATGTGTGAGCTTGCCCTGATCCGCCTTGGCTAGGATTTGAGCTGCGCCCGTTCCCATAGCCGGTGTGGCTTCCGGTAGCTGGTGCGTCTGGGAGTTGAAGGATCTAAGGATGATCGGAATGTGATTCCTCCGTCCGCCTCGCACATGCCACTCCTGCCGAAGTCATTGTCAAGTGAATCTATCTGTTCACTCATTGCTGCATACAACATGGAAGCAGTGCATGTTTGCACACCAAGTAGCCTGGAAGCAGTCCCTGCAGTACAAGTCGGCACACTGCACGCAGTGGAACAGGGCAATGCTCTCCACGCATTCTGCACACATGCCCATTTCAACCTGCAGTAGCTCATCACCGAAGTGTCGGAGACAAAGTCTTCACATCCAGCTGTCATTGCACGCTACAACCAAATCTTGGATACTTAGTGCCCAAGTCCCGCACCCATGTCCGCCTATGGTTTTGCCTTCGGCCCCTGCTGTGCAGTCTGTCCTTGCAGAAAAAAAACCAAAGAGATCTGAAATGAATCACAGCACCATACACATGCATGGAACTGCTTGCATGCACATTACACGCACAGCTATGTCCAAGCTAAGCTGGAACCAACATTTGGAAGCAGGCCGTCCTGTTGACTGTGCTGCTACGCTAGCCTACATAGGCTTGTATTCGTCTGCTCAAAGCCTTTCTCAGGCGATGGCAAAGCAGCCCTGGCAGAAGAAGTCTTTGCACTGATCGCAGAAGAGAACTGCGTCACGCTCATCGCATTGGACCTTGGAGTATACTTCTACCAAGGCTAACAACATGATGTCCTTAGGCTTGCGGGACCTTTGAAAGAAGTAACGGAGTAGCAATGAGCTCACCAACAAGAATCGGGCGGCGAAAGGCTTACTGTATGGTAGCTCCACCACGGCCACATGGCAACTCCCTTTGCAAGCGTTTTCGAGTTTCAGCCAAACTCGGGTAAAACATTGCAGAATCGTGCACCTGCCCAGCGCAGCCTTCCCTTCGTTCAACACCCCTTCTGAAGCCCGGCCCTCCTGGACTACTTTAGGAATACCTTAAGCCGTGCAACAGCTCAAGCGTGTTCTCCCAACTTCCTGCAAGTAAAAATCACTCGGGGCTCCACTGGGGGCTTCGCTATGCTTCGCTTAGGGGCTGATTAAGGTATCAAGGTTTGAGGTTTGGCTTTGTTTGGCTTGGGGTTGAAGGTTGAAGCTCTGTGTGTGTTTTAGTGTTTAGGGTTTGGGGGCATTGGTTGTCGACGGCTTGGGGCTGCTGAGGGCTCAGGGTGCATTTAGGGTTTAGGGTTGAGAGTCTGTAGCTGGTTAGGATGGTGTTGGATTTGTTTAGGGTTGGGGTTGTTCAGGGTTTGCGATCTGGGGTTGTTGGCTGTTGAGGGTTTGGGGAGGGTCGCTTAGAAGTCTGGTTCGTGTGTGCGGCCGCTTAGGGATAAGTGTTTGAGGGTGGTGATTGATGGCTTGCCGCTGTTGAGGGCTTAGGGTTTGTTTAGTGGTTTGGGTTTGGAGTTGTTTCGGGTTCAGAGTGTGCGGTTGTTGAGTGTTTGGGGATTTGGTGCTGTTTAGGGTTTGGGGTGGGGCGGGGTGTATTTGGGATTTAGAGGTTGAAGGTGTTAAGGGCATAGGGCATAGGGCCGGGGTTGGGGCTGCGTTGTGTAGCTTCGGATTGCTGAGCGCCAGGAATTGCTCAGGGTTGCTGAGGATGTTGGAGCTGAAGTTTAGGCGCGTTTACGAGGTGCTGGTCGTCAGGGTGTGGGGGTTGTCAAGCAGGGTTTGGGACTGTTGAGGCTTTAGGGCTGGGGGTTTCCTGAATGCTTAGGGTGTGGGGCTTCGCTCTGAGCTGTTTAGGGTTTAGGGCTTGGGGTTGTTTAAGATTTGGGGCTTGGGGAGGTCTTGGTCGCTAACGGGTGTGGGGCTGTCAAGGGGCTAGAGTTTGTTTGGGGTCTACGCCTTGGGGTTGTTTAGGGTTTAGGGTTGGGGTTGCTGAGGGATCAGGGTTGCCCAGGGTTTGGGGCGCTTCGCTTCAATTCAAAATGTGTATGTCTTAGGGTTTGGCGCTGTTTAAGGTTTAGGGTGTGGGAACTGTTGGTCGTTCAGGGTGGCTGTCAAGGGTTTGGAATTTGTTTAGGGTCTACGCATTGGGGTCGGCTTGGGTTTAGGGTTGGGTTGCTGCGGGATCAGGGTTGCTTAGGGTTTGGGGCTTCGCTCTGAGTTGTTTAGGGTTTAGGACTTGGGGGTTGTTTAAGATTTGGGGCTTGGGGAGGTCTTGGTCGCTGAGGGTGTGGGGCTGTCCAGGGTTTAGCGTTTGTTTGGGGTCTACGCCTTGGGGTTGTTTGGGGTTTAGGGTTGGGGTTGCTGAGGGATCAGGGCTGCCCAGGGTTTGGGGCGCTTCGCTTCAATTCAAAATGTGTATGTCTTAGGCTTTGGTGCTGTTTAAGGTTTAGGGTTTGGGAACTGTTGGTCGTTCAGGGTGGCTGTCAAGGGTTTAGAATTTGTTTAGGGTCTACGTATTGGGGTCGGCTTGGGTTTAGGGTTGGGTTGCTGGGGGATCAGGGTTGCTTAGGGTTTGGGGCTTCGCTCTGAGTTGTTTAGGGTTTAGGACTTGGGGGTTGTTTAAGATTTGGGGCTTGGGGAGGTCTTGGTCGCTGAGGGTGTGGGGCTGTCAAGGGTCTAGAGTTTGTTTAAGGTCTACGCCTTGGGGTTGTTTGGGGTTTAGGGTTCGGGTTGCTGAGGGATCAGGGCTGCCCAGGGTTTGGGGCGCTTCGCTTCAATTCAAAATGTGTATGTCTTAGGGTTTGGCGCTGTTTAAGGTTTAGGGTGTGGGAACTGTTGGTCGTTCGAGGGGGCTGCCAAGGATTTAGAATTTGTTTAGGGTCTACGCATTGGGGTCGGCTTTGGTTTAGGGTTGGGTTGCTGAGGGACCAGGGTTGCTTAGGGTTTGGGGCTTCGCTCTGAGTTGTTTAGGGTTTAGGGCTTGGGGAGGTCTTGGTCGCTGAGGGTGTGGGGCTGTCAAGGGTCTAGAGTTTGTTTGGGGTCTACGCCTTGGGACTGTTTAGGGTTTAGGGTTGGGGTTGCTAAGGGATCAGGGTTGCCCAGGGTTTGGGGCGC